CTATATTGAGTCTACCAAATTTCTCATTCAATTTGTTATCAGTCTGCAAAATTACCCATGCCTTAAAGTGTTGTGTCTCCTTCTTTCCTGATTATTGTGTCTTTCAGGATCTGTCGACGAAGAAGATTATTGGTAGAGGACGGGAATCTGATGGCCTATACATATTCGAACATCCAACACCTCACTCTTTGGCATCATCCACTTCATCCCCATTTGAAGTTCATTGTCGATTAGGTCATCCGCCTCTACAGAATCTAAAGAAGTTGTGTCATGAGTTTTGTTATTTAACATCTTTACAGTGTGAGTCTTGTCAGTTTGCTAAACAACAACGTATTCATTTATGTCCAAGATTCAATAAGCAGGTTTCATCCCCATTTGAGTTAGTCCATTCTGATGTTTGGGTACCATGCCCTGTTACTTCAAAACTTGGGTTTAAATATTTTGTTACGTTTGTTGATGATTATTCACGAACTACCTAGCTTTATTTTATGAAAAATTGATCTGAAGTGTTTACAAATTTTTGTTTATTCTATGTTGAGATTAAAACACAATTTAAAACCATCATCCAAACCCTTCGTAGTGATAACGCAAAAGAATATTTGTCTCAAACATTTCAGTCTTACATGCTACAAAATGGTATTCTTCATGAGTCTTCCTGTGTTGACACACCAGCCCAAAATGGGGTCGCATAACGAAAAAATCGTCATCTTTTAGAGGTGGCTCGAGCTCTTCTATTTCACATGTTTGTTCCTAAAACTTATTGGGTTGATGCGCTTTCTACTGCTTGTTTTCTCATTAATACAAAGCCTTCTGTTGTCTTGGATGGTATGAGTCCACTCTCGGTTCTATTTCCTACAAAGTCATTGTTTCCTGTCAAACCAAAGATCTTTGGTAGTGCGTGTTTTGTTCGTGATACCCGAACACACCTAACCAATTTGGATCCGAAGTCCTTGAAATGTGTCTTCCTTGGTTACTCTAGACTTCAGAAAGGCTACAAGTGTTTCTCTCCTACACTCAATAGGTACATTGTATCTCGAGATGTTACATTTCATGAAAATATACCCTTCTTTCCTATGACCAATCGTTCCAACCCAAGAGTGTCTGGTGATCTGTTGGTATATACCATACCTGCTCGTGAGTCTCCTAGCCCATGTAACTCCACACAACGTGAAGAGCATATTAAGCCACCAATTATTCACGTATATAGACGCCAATGACCTACATCAAATCCCGATCTAATACCATCTTCTTCTGCAGATCCAAGTACTGATGAGACTCCTGCTATGAGCGATTCATCACCTTCTGATACACTAAAACCTGATCTAGATGTTTCTATTGCCCTAAGGAAAGGTAAGCATTCATGTACGTACCCTATAGCCTCTTTCGTATCCTATGGTAAACTGTCTGCAACTTCACGCTCTATGATCTCTACACTTGATACTATACATGTTCCTAAAACGATTGGTGAAGCCTTGAACCATTCTAGATGGCAGGATGCTATGATTGATGAGATCAATGCTCTTGATCATAATAACACATGGGAGTTTGTAGAATTACCTGTATGTAAAAAGGCGATCGGTTATAAATGGGTATTCACGGTGAAAGTCAACTCGGATGGATCTGTGGCTCGTCTGAAGGCACGGTTGGTTGCTAAAGGATATGCTCAAACTTATGGGGTTGACTACACAAAGACATTCTCTCATGTGGCTAAGGTATCTTCCATCTACTTGTTCATTTCATTAGCTACTACTTATGACTAGGCCCTTCACCAATTGGATGTGAAGAATGCCTTCCTACATGGTGATTTACATGTGGAAGTTTATATGGAGCAACCACCTAGGTTTGTTGCTCAGGGGGAGTATGGAAGGGTTTGTAAGTTGAGTAAATCATTCTATGGTTTAAAGCAATCCGCTCGGACTTGGTTTGGACGGTTTAATGTTGTGGTAACAGAGTTTGGCTTATGAAGAAGCTCTTATGATCATTTTGTGTTCTTTGCTTCATCTTCTTCAGGATGCATTCTGCTAGTGGTGTATGTTGATGATATTGTGATTACTGGGAGTGATGGAACTAGAATCAAGAAACTGAAAGATTTTCTTACATCTCGATTTCAAACCAAGGACCTAGGTCCTTTAAAATATTTTTTGGGAATTGAGGTTTCTCGTACTCGTAAAGGGATCTATTGGTCTCAACGAAAATATTGCTTGGATAATTTGAGAGATTCTGGGATGATTGAAACAAAGCCTTGTGAGTCCCCAATGATTCCGAACATGAAATTGAAACCAGACGATGGAGATCCACTTGAGAACCTAGAGAAATACAGGAGAGTTGTGGAAAACATAACTATTTGACGATTACACGTCCAAACATTGCTTTACTAGTGAGTGTTGTAAGTCAGTTTATGTCGTCACCTCGAACTTCTCATTGGGATATGATTACTCATATTCTAAAGTACCTAAAGGGTGCTCCTGGTCATGGCATCCTATATCAAAATCATGGTCATCATGTCATTGAAGGGTTCACAGATGCTAATTACAATGGAGATCCTACAAACAAACGGTCTACCACAGGTTATTGTGTATTTGTCGGAGGGAACCTAGTTTCGTGGAAAAGTAAAAAAGCAAAATGTCGTTTCACAATCAACTGTCGAATCTGAATACAGGGCTATGGCTCAGACTACATGTGAGCTGATATGGGTATATAATTTGTTATGTGAAATTGGGTTTGCTTAATCAAAACCAATGAACCTGTATTGTGATAATGAGGCATGTATCCATATTGCAAAGAATCCTGTGTTTCACGAAAGGACTAAACATATCGAAGTAGATTGTCATTTCACTTATGAAAAGCTAGAAGATGGAACCATCTCTACTCCTCATGTTCGAATAGGAAGCCAACTAATTGATGTCTTTACCAAATCTTTACTTGGTTTGCGGATGTCTGCATTTTGTAACAAGCTGGGAATGTATAACATTTATGATCCAGCTTGAGGAAGAGTATTGGAATGTAAATATTGTACATGTGCATTAACCTAGTTTTAGCCCATGGGCCCATAGGGTTTCATATGTCTAGGGATCCTTCTTCTTTATATACCCTGACATCTTCTTGTAATAAGTGTACAATTAACAAGGTTATTTTCACCCTAAATCTATTTTCTAGTTTACAGTGCGGAATCCCAATCAAGTGAATGCCACAAATCGTGAATATGAAATTAGAACACAGTGATGAATCTTTAATGCACACTATATTGATAATAGTATAGTACATAAGATCCACAATTACTCTCTTGGTTCTCTCTTTCTCTCTTAGTTCTAAAAAAACAACACCCTAGAATAGGCTGATAACAAACATTTTATACCTAATACCTAGTTACAAAGCCCCAACCCAATAACCCAACCGAAATCACATGGTGATTTCGGTCCAAAAACCACCGAGATCATAGAGATTTCGGTCCAAAACCGAGAGCTATAAAATCCTTGAAAAGCAAAGTATAAACCACAAATTATGTCCTAACAATCGTGTAGTTTCCCGCACGTGTTACACTGACCTCGACCCTGCCGAATCCCAGTCGTTGATTCGAAGTATTGGTTTTCTTCCCACGACCCTCCTATGCCTGCACCTGATCTGACACCCTCTTCCACAGGCTTCTTAGATTCTCCAAGACTCTCCCCGGTCTGAGTATGGATCATGTTCTTTCAATAGTACGGGCCCAATACTACTTTGCACACCTATCTATACTTTCCTCAAGAATCATCCTGAATCTTCTAAGTCACCTTCTCAACCTTATGCCCCCGAAAACTCATTAAACATCGCAATGAAATCTACTGAAGCAATCCCTAGGCTCTCCTAGGTTCCCGACCTCACCCTGCCATCAACTGCTGAGGTACTCCCCATAATGCCAGTCATCCACCTCGTGAATACCATCATATTCACTTAGTAGCTAACTCTCATCATCTAAGAGTTACACAAATCACAAAGCAAGCAACATTCGTGCAGTAACACTCCAATCCATAGAACTATCATATAACATTCAATCCACATACCACCACTTATGCTAGAAATTTCACCATTGCTGCTGGTTGCCTTATGCATGCAAATTTTACACAGAACAGGATCAAGTAGACTGTCGAATAACAGACTCTAGCCTAGAACAACAACCAGACAAGGAACAAGAAATAAGGCCAAATCAATTATTCTAGGGCTATAAGATCCTACCCGTATATATATTTTAAAGAATACACTTAGCAATTACTAGTTCCGTTAGATATTCCCATCTCAGCATAACATCTAATTCACCCAATACAACAAGGTATCACATAACCGGCCAAACTACCACTAACTAATCAGCGCTAGCATGCAAGCCTACCAACTCATACAATATACATACAAATGCATCGCTCCTAGCATTCTATCATGCAAGAACTGAGCAGATCCTTAGTCCTAACTACCATGCATTTCACGGATTCATAAATCAAATCATAACAGATAACATGTATGGGTATTTTGGGGAAACTTACTTGAGCCCGACTGATTTCTTGCACCACATCCTTCTCTTATTTTAGAAAACTCTTTTCTTGAAAATACTTTTCTTTTTGAAAACTTTCTCAATCCTCAGTTTAGGTTCAGACACACCCGATAGTATGTCCGAAACCCTCAAACCAAGGCTATGATACCAACTTGTAACGGCCCGAAAATCATGCCATAAAAATATTGTTTTTAGATTTATAAATCGTTAATACATATTCCTCCCAAAAACCAAGGTAACAAAACATTTAGCATAACATCATCAAATCAAAGTATTTCGTAGAATATGAAAACACATAATGTGTGCTCTGTAATCATCCAGAGCTCTCCTAATTGAAAATTAAAGTACCTGAAACATAAACTAAAAACTGTAAGCACAAAGCTTAGTGAGTTCCCCAAAATACCATACCATATACAACCACAAATTATCATGCACATACATATAGTTGCCATAGGCTCCCCCATGGTGTTTATCTAGTATGACATGGGCTCCCCCACAGTCTTTACCTGGAATGCCATGGGCTTCCCCCCATGGTCTGATATCTAACTGCCACGGGCACCCCCCAGGGTCTTCCATGCAAGTATCACAGAGACAACTAGCAAACCACATAACACGTAATGGGTCGGCATTAGTTCCTTCAACCTATGGATATAGTGAGAAGATTCACCTTGAATACAAAAGTTCACTGAAAGAAATCTCTAACTGCTGCCCTGAAGACCTCCCGAGCTATCCATACCAAAATAACACCTAATTAGCAATTGGGTTCTAAAATATAATCCATAATCCATACTTGGGGTAAAATGATCGTTTTACTCCTGATCCAATCATGAACCAAAACTAAGGCCCACGAAAAAGGTCCAACTACAAGATCCATAAAGCCTATTAATGGTCTAATTTTCCAAATTGGGCCCAAACCATCACATGGGCCCTTCCTTGAAGCCCATTAACATTTCTTAAACTAAAACATACATTCATAGCTAGCCCAACAAAACATCAAACAATACAAGCCCAAACGATAGCTCGAACTCGAAATGACACCACAAGGCCCAATAAGGCCCAAATATCCCAATTAGGCTAAAATCCATATGGACCTATCCCGAGAAGGCCCAAAATATCCAATGATCAACCCAAATCAACTTCTGGTCAATGGTCAAATGTCCAAAAAGATCAACAATCAAAGAAACTCACCTTAGCCGAGTACGCCCAGCGTACGCCCATTGGGGCCAGTACACACAGCGTACCAAATGGGTACCCCCAACATACTCTCCCGGATATCCTTGTTCTCATTAACCACTTAATCTCCTCACCCATTGCTCCAAACTCTCCGGTCTGATTCCTATGGATGGCTTTTCAAGTAAAGTTGGCAACTTTACTAGCATGCATGGCTTAATGGGGCTCTAGAGCTCAAAAGAGCTTAATGTATGGTCTTAACACATGCATGAACTCAAAAACTCCACAAAGCTTGCACTTTTATGAATGGGGAACCCTTAAAATGTCCAAATCTACTAGATTGAGCTCCTAAAACAACCCTAGCTCACAAAGACCAAGCAAAAGGGACTAAAATGGTCATAGACCAACCCAAAAGTAGATATATTCAATGAGTAGCCAAGATAGAAACTTTATATCTCTAAAGTCTCGAAATGAAGATGCTAACACTAGATATCTAGGCTCTTCTCCAAAGGTTGAGTCTTTCACCTGCTTCTTCTCTTGCACAAACCACCAACAACCTTCTTTCAAGCTCCAAGCCTCACCCAAGGCATTATAGGGTTTTATGTATGTCAAAAGAGGTGGGGGCTGACTTAAAATGACCAAAGGGGTGGTATAATGTTGTTTATATAGGGTAGGAACCCTGAAATTAAGGTTTTGCTTTGATGGGAGTACATCCCGCGTACCCCTTAGTATGCCCAATGTACACACAAACCACCTGCGACCATTTATCCTTGTACGCCCCATGTTCCCAATGAGTACGTCCCGGGTACTCATGGAACCCCTAAAACCATTTCTTTGTCTTTGGTCTATTTTCCAACGAACCTTATATCTACAGAAAGACGACAATAATCCATACCCTTCTAACACACTTAAGCCTTAGAACCTCCCGAACAAAACCCAAAATCCATAAGAGACCTGAAATCTTCCTTTCCTAAGGCCTAAGCCTCATAACCATTGAAGATTGGGCCGCAACCCCGAATAAAGAAGCAAATTTGAAACCGAGTGTTTCACCTTGATTCTCGAGTATTTGTAAGTGTATGATACTAAGTGGAAATTCAACCGTTTTGATATTTTCATTATGGACTAGTTTGGTTTGCTTTGATAATGTTATGTTTGTTCAAGGGTTACATTAAAATGGGAGAGGACTGTTGGTGATTTAAGTGTCACCATGTCATTTTATGTAACTGGAATGAACATATAAGCTAAGAGGCATCATAATTTGTAATTTAATATATGTACGGGTTTGTGTGGAGTGCACGCATGTATAAGATTGAATTAGAAGTTGGTTCGACGACAAGTCGAGGGTCCGGGGGCAGCGCCCTTGGGTCCGGGGTTTCCAAAGGAGCATCGCCCATTTGGCAGGGTCTAGGGGCAGCACCCCTAGTGGGATCCAAGGAGCGGAGCCCCTGGCTGGGTTTGAGGTAGCGCCCCAAAACCTCTCCGAATTTTACATATGGGAACTTAGTGGGAAATTCAAATTCTTGGGGTGATTATGGTAAAACTAACGAAACTCGTTAGTTTCGGAAACCCTAAATCCTCATTAAATTTTGGATTTTTTGGATTCCTTTCAAAGCAACCCATGACGATTGCCAACCCTAAATAAAATCCCTAATCTCGTTTATTATTAAACGACTCTTCTCTTTGAGAAGATACATACAAAAATTATTAGCTCCTGTTATCTTCAAACGAACACAGATCAATTTGGATGACATTTTCTTTGCCTAGATTCGTACGTATCCTTTTAAATTATCCTAGGCTAAATTTCTTGCAACCCAAACATAGGGTATAGATATCAGTTTGAAAATTGTTTATACGATCCAGGGGTATCCAGATCTCCAACATAAACCTTATTTCCTCCAACAAACTATCTATCTAAAAAATTATTTATTAAAAATATTTAATGGATTTATAATGTATTTGAGGTAAACCAGTTCTAGTAAGAAATCTTAGTAAATAAAAATTTAGTGTAAAGTATGAAATAAATTAAAATCATATTTGGTATAACATAATATAAAAATAATTTATGTGAAATACAAATACCAAATTTTAAACTAAAATAATATTTTTAGTTGAACTTAGCTTTATATAAGATTTTAATTTTTATGGTATTATATTTTATTCTTATTAACATGCAAAACTCAATTTAAAAGAAAATGAATAAATAAATATTAAATGGTTAAAAACGAAAACTAAAAGTCTATTTAGAAACATTTAAAATCAGTTATGGTGGACCCAAATACAAAAGAACGCCACCTTTAGAAAATCACTTTAAATTTTAAAACTATACTACTTTTAACAAAGTTTTTGCAAACAATCCTATTTTTGCAAAAAGCTCTCAATTAACTCTGCAACTTTATGGTTAACTCCCGTAGAAGTGATTGACTGAATGAGAGAGAAACGCCAAAATTGGGGATTCATCATTGTTACTTCAAGATCATCGTCAGTTCGATGTTGCTAATTTTTGCTTATATTGTAAGTTGTTTTAGAGTGATGTTCATATTATTCTTCTAAACTCTCGTTGTATTGTAAACCAAAGGTCTGTTAAAATTGTAAAGTTTTGATAATGGCCAAGTCTGGAAGTAAGAGCTCAAAGAGCCGGCTGAGGTACGGCGGTGGTGGGAGCAAGCAGGTAAACAATCAAAACCACATTACACCGCCGCTGGCGGAGGTTAAGGATAACAGATACGTATTTGCCACAGCGACACCTAACTCTGCTCAATATCCTAACACTAAACATTATATTCCACCAATTCATCCTCCATATTACCGGTACCCACCACCGCCGCCTGCAACACCCTTTCCTTCACCATATTACGACCACCACCGCATGGCTATGGACCCAGCAAAGCAGGTGTTGGTCGGTGGTAGGTATCCTTGTGGGCATGAACAGAGTGTGTCTATAAAGAACGCGATTAATATAAAGAAAGAAACCTTGAAGATCAAACCCGATCAAGAAGACCCTGAAAGATACCTTGTTGAATTCACGTATGATGCCTCTATTGCTGGCAGGTAAAGTCTTTATTCTTACATATATAATCAGGGAAAATGACTTAAAAGCCCAACAAAGTTTACAAACCATTCAAAAAATCCCAATCATGTTTTGTCTGTTCAAAAAATTCCAACGAACTTAATTTTTTGTTTAAAAAGTCCAACAATGTTCCAAACCGTTAAAAAAATCCCAATTTTGTTTTGTTTAAATTCATTGGGGTTTTTTTTTAACAATCAAAACATGATTGAAGTTTTTTAAACGTTTTGGAAATTTTGTTGGTCTAACAAGTCATTTTCCCGATCCGGTAATAAGCCACGTTATCTATTTCTCTTATTTGACTTTAAGGAAAATGTAACTTAGTTGGGTTTTTTAGACAAAATGTTAAGTTCGTTGGTTTTTTTTTTGGACAGACAAAACATGATTGAGGTTTTTTTGAACAGTTTGGAAACTTCGTTGGGCTTGTAAATCATTTTCCCTATATAATAATGACCACTGCAAACATTTTTGTTTAAACTTTATGTCAACATGTTTCCAGTTATGCATTTTGTAGATGTGTAGTTTGTTTTATGTTGTATGAACTGACTGATCATATGTGTATGATAAGCGGTTTTACGTTGTTCTCGTGGCAGAATTACCCTTCATTTCTTTGAAAAATGGGGAGAAAACTATAACATGAATCCAACAGAAGAGCTGCTTCCACCAATCACAGTGGTTTTCCAACAAGGTTTGGGACAGAAATATATACAGGAATCCAGAACTGGAATAGACCTTTCCGTATATAAGGTAGGTATACCAGAGGTATATCATTTAGGGATCAAGGCACAAGCAACTCCATGCATATCACAAGATGGAAGTTCTAATAGTGGAACTACTATCTTCCAATTAACTTTAGCAGTGTTTGAGAAGAAGAAAGGTGAATGCCAGATTAGGGTTACAAACCAGATCTTATGGGTGAATGGAGTGGAGTATGTGTTGCATGATATCTGTGAATTTGGTAATTTTGTGGATGGTGCTGATTTTGATAGGAATGCTCTTGTTAAAAAATGTTTCCTCTGTTTATCAACAGTTCATGACACTACTCTCCTCCTTGGCCAGCATCATATTGCTCCACAATTGGACAACAATCCTCGGCGTATTTATGAAATGCCAAAAAATCCAGCTAACGTTCGTGTCAACTTGAATGAACGTAGAATTGGCAAGTTGTTGTTTTATAATAAAGAAATTGGGAGGGGGAGTAATGGGACAATTGTATTGAAGGGTTATTATGATGGGAGGGAGGTTGCTGTGAAAAGGATTGTGAAGCAACATTATGATGTTGCTCTGAAAGAGATACAAAATCTTATTGTATCTGATCAACACCCTAATATTGTGAGGTTGTATGGTGTGGAGTACGATCAAGATTTTGTTTATATTGCTCTCGAGAGGTGTGTATGTAGCTTACATGATTTGATATTGTCACTTGCTAATTCGAGTGTTGAATTGCAACCGATGATGAAAGGTTTTAAGGATTTGAAATTATGGGAGTGCAATGGGTACCCTTCACCGCCATTGTTGAAAGTAATGAGGTTAGCCATGTTTTGTTTTTTCTTCCATTAAGTGATATATGGATAAATGATGATTAAATGATATATATGATAATGTCATGGCAAACATGAGAAAATGGAATGAAATAACAAAAGGGTAATTGGAAGAAATAGAAATGTTATTTCATTTATTTTTTGATTATAGCATCTTACTTTCATTTCATTCTATTACAATTACAGCATTGTATTTTCATTATTTTTCTTTATTATTACTTTGTTATTTAATAAATTGTACCTAATTGTATTTTAAATTTCGTTTCTTATTAGAACATTATACTTTGAAAAAATCTACTCTGAAAATTGCTTTGTATTTGATATTGCTATAATTTGGTACGTTACATTTTGCTTCGTATTAGGACAGTTATGTAACAACATGAAATAAAAGCGGGATATAATAGAAAACAAATTAACTTAAGTACTTCACTATGTGTTGCATTTAACCCAAAAATAAATGAGGCCAATATGTTAACACTTATGACTAAATGGGGAAAGCCTCATTTCCCCAACTTTTTCTTTTAAGCTGTTTTTTCTTTATTTACTAAAATAGAAACACTTATATATATATATATATATATATATATATATATATATATATATATATATATATATATATATATATATATATATATATATAAAATAGTGTTAAAACATAAAAACATTATGTTTATGTTATTAAATGTTGTATATTAGTATTATTGAAGTAATTATAATGTGAATATTAACATTTTATCATTTATATATTTTTTTGACTGTTATTATTCTATTATAAATTTTGTATATATATATTTATGTAGTAAATTCTAATATTAGTTTTAATGTGTGATTACTCATCTATTCATTACTGAATAATGACATAAAGTTGTGGATACAAAATTCGATTAAAGAATAATGACATAAAAGTAGTGTTTTCATGTTTTCACTTTAATTACCGTTATAAATATATATATATATATATATATATATATATATATATATATATATATATATATATATATATATATATATATATATATATATATATATATATATATATATATATATATATATATATATATATATATATATATTGGAAATTATAAATTACAGGGACACAGTTAGAGGACTTGGCCATTTACACAAACATAGAATCATTCACCGTGATTTAAAGCCTGAAAATGTCTTAATACACAAAGCCACATCTATTAGTGCAAAAGTCTCGGATATGGGCATTAGCAAACGCCTATCCGCCGATAAATCTTCTTTAACAAAAAGCACAACAGGCAAGTCTTCTTTCATATTTTCAATTATGATGTATTACTTTACTACCATTTGAATGGGCAAAATGCAAGAAAAAGCAGTTTTGTTCATAGTTTCTTTCTTATTATAGCTTTATGCTTTAGAAAAATTACCCGTTATAGCGGTGAGATTCGAATCATGATGACATGGCACATGTTAACATATTTTTATGCATTGTCATTGTCCACTTCGGATGTACACGTGTGACATTATGTTGGGGTGGCAAAACAAAAACTATACATATTAGCTATTTAAAAAAAAAATAGCCAAGATGAGAGAAATGACAAGTTTTAATAACAATATTTATACATTTCGTTTGATATGTCCATTTCATCAATGATGATCTAAATCTCATATTATATGTGCATTTTCTTATGTAAAAAAACTGTACATTTTTTGACACACCAACAATACATTACTTGTGTAACGTCCTAGGTGGAATGTTAAGTTGTGCTATGCCATCATAATTATTATCCCATTGCTATATAATGGGCATTTGAAATGCAATTCACAAGAATAATGTGAGAGTATAATGTTGTAATTAGAAACTACTTTGCTATATCTTGTATGTTTTAAATAGGCATTGGGAGCTCTGGGTGGCAACCACCTGAGCGACTCTTGAATAAAGAAGGACAAACGAGTGCTGTGGATTTGTTCAGTTTAGGGTGTCTGATTTTCTTTTGTATAACTCATGGTCGCCACCCATTCGGTAAGGATGAGGATGGGCGTGATGGAAGAATTAAGAAAGGGGAGAAAAGTATGTCATTAGTAAAAAAATATCCTGAAGCCCATCATCTTATCTCTCGTCTCCTTGATCCCGATCCTAAATCCAGGTATGATTCATGTCATATTATCTAAAATTTCTTTCCAACATGATAAACTATGGTGAAAGTAGTTAGAAATACCATCGGGAGTGTATTAATTCTTATCCGTTTTTATTCTTTCTTTCGATTATCTTGTTTATTTGTTGGGTAAGTGTGTATTATTATTCCTATTAGTAAACATATCGACAGACTGGATGTTTTGACAATTTGAAATTACATTTATTTTGCTATGGGCAATACAGATAAGCTCTTGTATTTTTACCATTTTATGATACAACCACTTAACCAATATCCATACTTTCTCTATTTTGATATGGCAATGGGGTAAAATACAAAAAAGCCACAACATACGTTCATCATCTTATCGATTTAACCACTCAACCGAGTAAAACATTCTATTTTTTTTATCGTTATAAAAGTAATATTTTCTTGTTACTCTGTTTTTGATATGGGATAGGGCAAAATTTGAAAAAGCAGAATGTAGATTAACCACTGTTTTGCCACTGAACTATTATTATAGTCATCATAAAGAACTAGTAGTTCAGTTGCTAAATTGATATAATAGTAAAAGTAGTTTTTGTTTTACTGTATTTTGCCTCTTTTGAAAACCAGTAAATGGAAAAAATGGTTCTTATAAATGATTAAAAACACTTATAATGTCTTAATTACTATAAAAAATAGTTTAGCGGATAAATGTTTAAATTTGTGATAGTACATTGGTCTGCTTTTCTGTCTTTTGCCTTTTTACAATATAGGTACCGAGTGATATTTTTTTAAATGGTCAAAAATTGTAAAAAAAAAAATTAATTACTACAGAAAATATCTAATTCACTAAATCGATTCAGCATACTTTTACTTTTAATTTTATTTTCATTGTACTTTGAAAAATCTTCTCAATTACATTGTTATAATTGGGTAGATTTTTTAAAGTATGATGCTGTAATTGTAAAAGAAAATGAAAGTATGATATGCTAAAATAAACAAATAAATAAATAGCTATTTCTTGTATTAAAAATATTGTGGATTTTCAGTCAGAGCTATACCAGATGGTGTAGTCTCATACATGGACATTGAAGGTTATAGATTCAAGGTTGAATGTACGATAATGACAATAGTTATAATGACAATAATTATGTAAAATTGAATGTGTTCATATTATCAAACAACATATTTTATTTGTCATTCTTACGGAATAGCTCTGTCCACACGTACACACAATAGATGTCAGTCCACATTTGAACCTAGCTCTACGTGTGTGTGTGTGTGTGTGTGTGGAAGTAAGTTCAAATAAAAACTGTAAACATTGTGAAAACGTAAAAACATTATATTTATGTTATTATTCTGCAATGAATATTATATATATGTATTGTTGAAGTAATTCTAATATGAATACTAACGTTTGATTATTCATATATTCATTTGAATATTTTATTTTATTATAAATTTATGTATGTGCATTTTTGTAGTAGATTAAGTATTTTTTTAGTTTTTTTTCATATTTGTTTTCATATTATATTTTAATTTTTTCGTATATTTAATTTATTCATTTTATTCGTATTTGAATTTTTATTATTTGTTTTCATTTTTCCGTATTTGTAACTTTTTCCTAGCCTGTTCAATAAATATAAAATGTATTAATATATTAGAGTATGTTACGAAAGTTGCAAGTCCATTGTAAAATTCTATATTTAACCCTTTTGTTTTCTACGAGATTAAAAATCTGCATTTTTTTTCTTATCCAGACCAAAAGCCGTAGAAGTGTACCACCACCCTCTCTTCTGGGACCCTGATACCCGTCTCTCCTTCCTCCGAGACGCAAGTGACCGCATAGAGTTAGAAGACCGCAAAAACGATTCTGATATCCTAAAATCACTCAAAAGCATCGGAGATTACAGAAATTGGGACAAAAAACTACACAAGAGACTCATAAAAAACATTGAACATCACAGAGAATACAACTATGACGACGTATGTGATTTATTACGAGCCATAAGAAACAAATATAATCACTATGGACAACTTTCGAAAAAACTGCAACGTATGTTGGGGGAGGTCCCCACAAAATTCGATGGATATTTTAGCAGCCGGTTTCCGAAACTTGTTATAGAAACATATAATGTTTTGAAAGGGTATAGTGTGGAAGGAGAGATTCTTCATAAGTATTATAAACAATATCAATTTTAATTTGTAAAAGTGTTGTTGAATGTCGATGATGGTCTATTGTCATGAAATGTGACATGTATATAGTTTCTATATAGTGTGGAAGGAGAGATTAATTCTTCATATGTATATATGATATTTAAGTTGTTTTGTAACTTGTTTACATTTTCGGGAAGAAGACAAATTTAGCCAATTTCTTTAATTATTTTCTAGGAAATAGGCAAAGAATTAAGAAATGACTCATATAGCCACTGAAATCATGGTTAGGCCTTGGGCTGTGATTTTGTCAAGTAGGTATAAGTTCGGGTAAAATTCTATGGTCTTTTACATCTGGAGCACCAATATATGATTCACCTCAATCGGTTAATTTGGAGGATGATCAGCATATATAATTCCTCTAGGCGGCAGCAGCAGCATAATAAGTTATATATAGATTGTGGAGATGACTGACAACTCTATATCCATGCCAAAAACTCTAAAGCTGAGGTCAGCAAGTTCACCTTGTTGATGTAGATTTGTTTTCAAGATGTGTTATATTAGATTTCCACTATTTGTCCAAAATTATGGTTATTTTACGACAAAAGTCAATTGCTATAATTCCAAAAAGGGCAAAATAGAGAAAAAGTATAATTTGTTTTTCCTATTTTATCGATTTAGCCACTAAACTATTATGATAATATCTATGAATAAAAAACAATGCTTTGATTACCAATTCAATAAATTAGTCAAATACATAGTGGTTTTTTGAACCAGGTCTTTTATACGGTCGAAAAATATATAATGATTGATTCACGACATAAATGAGCTAAGTGGTTGAATCAATAAAATGATGAAAGTAGAATTGTTTTTTTTGTTTTTTATTTTTTGTATTTTGCCCAAAACTAAATCACTCTTTTTGACAATTAATGGTTGATAAGGTTTAACCAGGATGAGTTGTCCAAATTTAAGTGAAAACAATATATGTTCTTCCAACACTAAACCTTTGTCTATGCTCCTTAGGTTTTGTTTCCATGTTCTTACTAGCAATTATTGCAACATTTGATTTAACTCTCAGACAAACGTATCCATGATGTTCATTTTATGGTTCATCACACGCTATAGTTGTTAGCGATCCCCTAAGAAATAGCGGTGGTGCTATATAATAGGCTCCGGTGAAAAGGTAGGGAAGATGAAGCTATGTCATTATTTAACCCCCCCCCCCCCCCCCCCCCTGTTACCTGTGAAAAACATTCCATGCCGTTCAACCTTAGCGCCATGATTTACTGTGATTCTTGACACCAGTATAGCGACGCTACAATCACGTTTGTATGAAATCCATGTTGGGCTATTTCACATAAAAAAACAAATAAGTTCTGTTGACCAACCTAATTAGAAAAACATTCAATCGTTCTTTTCGTATACCACGATGAGTCTACCCCCTCCCAAACTCTCCGATCTCTCTGAGTCGATGACTTTGGAGTTCCCTCCCTGAGCAATGAGCAATGAGCAAACAAGAGGATTACAGAGATGATGATGATGAGTTTAGAGATGTGGTGGAAGATCTTGGTGAAGAAGTGAATGCCTCGGATGATGTTGACTCAGAAGTCGGACCCGTGGATTGCAATTAAACTCTATACAACTCTTTGACACTTTCTAATTCACATACTCCTATATATGAATATTACATATGCTTGATGTTATGTTTTATATGATTTTTTATGATATTAATTCCATATAGTATTAAGACTCTAATAACTAAATTCTAGATAAAACTGCAAAATTGGTCTCTAAAAACTGTGAATAAGGTTCAAAAAGTTTCCAACTTACATGAAGATCCAAAATTTAGAATTTCTCATGATTTTGGTCCTAATAATTGAAAGGACTATTTTACCCTTTTAATTTTTTTATACAATTTTATATTTATTTTAGTAGTTTTTTAATTTAAAAATAAAAGAAAAACAATACACACACATAAAGAAAATAGCCTCATAAATAAAAGAAAAATAACAGACTCAAGTTTCCTTCTATATGTCAGAGATCTCTTACTACCTTGTCAGTGGACCTCGGGGTGTGCAATGGTGAACTGGGTTCCCCTTCCTCTCCATATCTTTATAGTTCTATCTTCAAATCACGATGTTTGCCTATGAATCGTTGTCAAAACTAGATTCATCGTTTGACTCATTGAGTTAACTCGATCAGAACTGGAATATCTTTCCAAGAAAACTCAATAGCTAGCACAATGCATTGGAAAAAGAATCCCAAAAATATTAAAGAAAATAAAGATGAAAATAGAAAGGTAAACGAAAATCTATAAAAATTCCATTTGTTATTCAAATCTCAATTAATGAAAATTTACTAAGATGCGAACAGTGACCAACACAATTAATGGAGGTATACGAAATATGCGAAACCTAAATACTCCTCTCATGAAGTTCTTCAAAATATTGTATACTCACACACACACACACTAGCCATCTAGCCGTGCCAAGGGCTAGGTGTGATTTTTTTTTCAGAAATTAGTTCAAATAGGGGATTAGTGTTTTTGCGCAAATAGTTTACTACATATAAGCAATTATCAATAAGAGTCTTGCTAGCATAAATGAAATCAGAAAGAATTAAAAATGAAAAGTTGAGATTCTTTACAAATGCATATGAACACATGATTGGCTGATCATTATTGATCGTGCAACACTTCTTTATACACGCTATTTGATGTATAGACTTCACTGTCATTGAATTATTCACCAGGCTTCACCAATACTTTTGTAGTGGCACGTTATATCCCTCTGGATAATGCCACATAAAGTTCGCCCTGCAAGAAAACCGATTCTAGAAGATAAATTACTACATTTGGAATAGTTTGTCCCTGAGCTTTATTAGTTGTTATTGCAAAACATAATCGAATTGGAAATCATTTTCTCTTCAGCTTAAACGGGAACATGTCATCTTTGGACAGACTTAGAGAAATCCTTGGAAAAAATATCATCTTTCGAACATGTTGACCAACAGCTATTTCGGCATCAATGACATCGTGCTAAAAACATTTACATATCAATCGAGTATCGTTACATAATCCATTTGATGGTTCGAGATTCTATGAGAGTATTATCGGGCGTCCAACTTTTAGTCTTAAGTAACGAGGGGGAAAGCCACTAACACTGAGCGTGTTCAAGAATTCCACGGGATAGAAGTTATTTATATCGTCCATAGCTTCATCAAAACTATAGTAAATTCTCTCTTCTCCATTGAATCGACCGATCAAATAAACATTAATCTCATTGACACTGTCATTTCTTGCGAGTTGTATTGCATGCAAAATAGTATAATCAGGTTCAGATCTATTAATTTCAAAGGATGAAAAAATTACATCAATCAAATCATGCAATGACTTTTCTTTTTCAGTGAAGGGAATCACCATATCATCAGGGATGCAGATAAAGTTTTCATGTACCGTTTCTTCAACTCCAACCCACGCATAATAGAAAGTCTGAGAACCATGGATCGGTTAGTGCTCTCATATTAACAGTTAACCGCAACTTGATAATCGAATACCAAAGAGGCGACATTCGTATGCTAGAATCCACAGTCTGTACTCGCGTTCCTCGTCTAATGACCAACAACACTTGTCTGAAATCACCTCCCAAAATTGTTATCTTTCCACCAAATGGTAGCATCACACCAGTGATATCTTTCATTGTACGGTCAATCGCCTCTGGTGCATGTCATATAGATATAAACGCATCGTCCCAAATGATTACTTTCGCAGTCTGAAGTAGTTGAGCAGTACCACTTTGTCTTGAAATTTGGCAGACCGAGTTATTTTCAAGATTGATAGAAATTTTAAAGTGCGAGTGGGCTGTTCTCCCCTGGTATATTATTAGCCGCAACACACGAACAAGCGGTCGCGAGTGCAATATGACCACATGAACGAATATTAGCAAGTAAAGCTTTGCACAAAAATTGTCCTCAGGAAGTTCCACAAATCAAACATCTATTTATTTTGCAAGATTTAATAAATATGGATATTAGCATATTAGTAGTTGGATCTTGAATGTAATATTAGTTTTTTTTTTGATTATTTATCATAACATGCTTACATAGAGTAAAAAAAATGGGAATCTAGAGGAACACATAACTAAGGTGTTGTTTCCTTTTTACTTAATGGACTTAACAAGGACAGAAGGGTAAAATACTCACACTTACTGAATAGATTTGAAAACAGCCAAGGATGTTATTTATAATATTTAATACTAATTATTAAACAAGAAACGGTAAAAAAAATGAAAAGGGATACTTGCACAACTTTTGTTGAGGTGCATAAATGAAGCATTTTCTAGAAAGTGTATTCAATATCCATTTGTTGCCACTATAATAAAGAAGTTGATAATGCAAGTTATAAATTAATTGTCTAAAACAAATTATTGTTATTTATAACAGTTTTTAGGCAGAACAAGATGGACTTTTATTGTAAAATATATTCTATAATAAAATGATGGCAATGGCACTCATGGTAAATACTTGGAATAAGAAAGGGTAATTTAGGAAAGTCACTTTATGAAGTTAAATGGTATATGACAGACAACCCTTTTGGATTTTATTTGGAAAATTCGTTGATAGCCAAGTTGTTAGCTGCTATTGATAAATATGATTTGGAGAGACTTAGAAGGATGTGTAAATCCCATCTTTGTAAGGGTATATCTGTCAATTTTGTTGGTAGACCTCTAGCACTTGCAGATCATTATCATGCCAAAGAATTGAAAGTTGTTTGCTTAAGATTTGCTGCTGAAAACCTTGCAAGTATACTCTCATTATACAAAAGCGTTTTTATGTGCTTCTTCTTCCCTTATTTACAGTATTTCTATTACCAACTTCAAGTGATTCTATTTTTATTATAGGATAGCATCCCGCCTTCATTTCTTTCTATTCCAACATTTCACTTTTAACGTTTTTCCTTATTATATCTTTGTACTTCTAAAAGCCAAACACAAGCTATTGTGACTTCATTTAGTGGGTACAAGCACATGAAAACACAATTTCAATAACTATAACAATACCAATAATAGTTACAATAACAGTTATAGTTATGATAACAGCAACAGTTACACAGTACCAAGGAAAGTTATATTCATTCT